TCCCTGCTGTCAGGACTTTAATCTTGAGAAAATTGTTTCCGGACTATCCTGGATAACAGTCTTGATGGATCCACCTGCTTGGAGCCTGTCCCTGGGTTTTTGAATTCACGTTAGCTCTGGCCTTCCCAGCTGCCTGTGGCAGCACAGCGAGTGCCATGGCTTAGTCGTGATCGACGTAGAAAAGAACTTGATTTTGTTCATGCGCATTTTCAGGGACTCTGTTCGAGATACGGAGGGGCCTTATGTTCAAAGATGCAGCTCTCAGTGAATTTTGTTTGTGCAAGATCATGTTTGTGAAAATTAATCTCTAGGAGCATAATTATTCACCGCCCTGTATCCTCTGTAGTCGTTTACCAGGTATAAAATATAAGTAAGTCCAAAACACAGGAGAGGCCATGAAGAAATAGCATTTGTAATTCACATTGCATAAGTTTAACTGATTGCCCGAGATATGATGCAATAAGAAATCAAATTTAAGCTGTCTCAAAGGCATATCCAATTCAGTAGATCTTGAAAAGGAACACATTTCCGTCTCCTGAGGAGAATACAGAAAGCTGCAACTAAGTAGCTGGGTCCCAGATTTTTCCATACTTCTATAGAGGAGGATGGAGGTGGGATACAAACAAAACAAACCCCTCAGACCCCACAGTCCCCACCCAACAACATCACGTTTAGATGACAGTAAAGCAGTGGGAAGAGCAAGCACCATGCTGCTCTGCTGTGAGCTTGACAGACCCCTTAATCTCCAAAGCCAGGTCTAACAGGATGGTTTTGCCCCTTCCCTGCAGGTAGTAGCTGTATCTGATCATCGGCCCCATAGGACAGAGACGCTACAGCCCCCCCAGGGTGACCTCCTCCAGGTGCCATACAGCGAAGACGAGGTGCAGGGCTTGGGCCACCTGCACAAGGGGCAGCGGGGACCCTGCCCCACCAAGGGCCCTCCCCAGCACGGTAAGTCCGCAGAAGTGGCTTTATTCCTCTGTGGCTTCAGAACATTTTTAGATACTGCAGTCTTCCAGTTTGCAGCAAAGCAGGCACTTTGTTGTGTACGTGAAGGATACTTCCATGCTTAAAATGTACAGTGGAATTAATGAGACAATGACCATGGCATTGAAGAGCTCTCGCCTTATTCAGAGTCATAAGCACTCCCTTTCCGAAGGCTGACAATATTTTAGAGATGACAGAATGTGTATTACTGAGTTGGCCTGAGTCATCTTATTATATAAGATCCCTGCTGAGAACTTGACAAAACATAATTATTTGGGATGAAATTTTAGATTCTGGGTGTCAGCCACAGGCCTGACTTTGTTTTTAAAACAAAAATTGTTCAGCATATTTGTGAGAAACTGTGAAGGAAAAACAGAGTTTGCCAATTCAAAACCAAGGAAATGAGTAAACACAAACAGACTGGTCCTTCTGCTCCTTCAACGTGGGTGTGTTATGTTTGGAAGGTCAAAGCTGGAGAAGGCCAGGCAGTTTGGCAGGGGGTGGCCTTTTAATCAAAAACTCATCTTTTGCTCTCTCTTGAAAAACCACCCAGATGCAGCCAAGTCATAAGCCTTTGAAAAAATCCCATATGGAACAGGTTTGGTAGAGGCATTGGACATTTAGCTGTTAAAAGGTGCAAAATCTGTAAAGCAGCTACTGCTGTGAAAGTGCACGTTCTTCACACCATGAGTCTGCACTCACGTGGCTCATAAGGCACCCCATTAGGAACACAGACCAGACAAGAGCAGGGCCTGGGAAACTGGGAAGGAAGAGACATGGGAAAGATCTCAAACTGGGACTGGAGCCAAGATGTGGCTGAACAAAGAACTGGGGCTTCAGGACTGGAAGGGGGAGAGGAGGAGGAGGAGGAGGAGTGTCTGGGACCGGCTGCAGGGTAAAGGGTGGCAGAGAGCCAGCAAGGGAGAAAGGGAGGGACTGCTGGCCTCTGCTGTTAGGGGAAACAAGAGGTAAAGGATGACAGATAGGTGTGAACAGGAGAAAAGGCATAGGAAGCCAAAGAGGAGAGCAGTAAAGGGGGAAACAGTTCTCCTAGGGGGAGAAAGGGAAGCGAGTGGGCAAAGAAACTGGGATGCTGAATGGGAAAGAGGAAGAAACTAAGTTTAAATTTGAACAAAAGAGAGACAAAAAGGACTGACTGAGGAGTGGAAGGAGGGGGCTAGGAGAACAGGGCAAGACAAAAGAGCTACTGCAGGGCTGCCTCAGCTTGTGCAGCACGGTGAGGCTGCTTGTCGGACCTCTGTTCCCTCAGCACAGAAGGTGCTCAGGGGCCACGGCAGGGCATCTCCTGCAGTAGCTCCCCAAGGTCTGTCTGTCGCTGGCGCCAGACTCCTCAGTGATGCTCATTACCTCACACAGCCGATGTATCCCCCTTTTCTGGGTGCCGGCTTCACATCTACGACTGCAACACCCGGGAGCGCTCAGTTCCTGCTGCACTAACAACTGGACTTTGACTACGAACAGGGCTTCATCCTGCTCAAGCCTCTGAAAAACTGCATCCCAGGAGCTTCTAGTCTTAAACTCAGTACCTACCTCTGTTTCCATGGCATAACTCCTTGTCCTCCAGGAGGTGAGGAAGCTGGTTTCTTAAAAACATTTGTGCGGATGGTGAGCCCAGTGATCAGCAGTACAGAAAAGCCCATGAAAATATTAATAGCTTTTCCCTCAGAGGGTTGGCTGGTGGAGAAAATAGGTATAGGACTGTGCACTGAGCAATAAAAGCTAGAGATGACCAACTGCTTTTGGAGTGAACACTGTCCATGGGAGTGAAGCTGAAAGTGTGGGAAAATGGTTTCTGGTCACAAATTAGAGACCGAACCTCAATGTCTAGGTCCTTGGGGGATGAAATAACTCTGGTCCAGTTCTGGTGTTTCATAACTTTTGAATGCCTGACTTTACAAATTTAGCATTTTAAAGGAAGGTAAGTAGAAGCATTTGCAAATATTTTTATGAATTTTTATTGCTCTGATATGCTGCAGTGTCCAGCTTCAGCACACATGGTACTAATACCACCTACACAGAGAACAGGATGCCATGAGAGCGTCCAGAAAGTTTTCTCCAGCTGTTGAGAAACAGCTGGAGAGCCAGCATAATGTGATACAAAGTGAGGTGTTTGTCCCTGGATATGCATAATCTGTTTTCATTAATCTCTGTACAAATGTGACCTCTGCAGAAATTTCACCCTTCAAAAACATCCTTCAGCTTCCTTACTGGAAATAGTTGTGTCTGTACTGATTTCCATGTTTACTCCATAGACAAGTACTGTTGAACATTAAGGAGATTTCAGATTTGGTAAAGCGCAACTTGAAATCTGGGTAGTAGAGTGAAACTAAAGCCATGAGGACTTACTTTTGTTTACATATTTTGCTAAAACTATGCCAGAACATTTTCTATACCTAGTAAGAAGAGAGACCAGCTGAAGGGAAGAATGAGATGCTATAAGAGCAAACAAAGAAAAAAAGAAAAACAAAAAACAAAGAAAAAGTACGGACATCTGCTGAAGTACCAATGCCTGGAGCCACTTGCTGAATACTGTTAGTACCTCATATGCAAGACGAGAGGAGTTAATTGAATTAAACATTGACATGAGGGATACAGTCAGGTACCTAATGGAATTACTGGTCGGGGGAGGAGCAGGAAGAGAGAAGCTAGTTAAGATATTTATCATGGTCAAGTGTTGCCCCCAGAAGAAGACAGTTCTGACTGCAAGTCATGCTGGAGACAGCACTATAAGCAGCACCTTGGCTATTTCTGATGTTTGCTGTCATTATTTGTATTCCATTGGTCACAGCCGTTGTGAAACATATTGTATCCTCTGCCTTGGTGAATCCTGGTACTTCTGTAGATCCTTGCTCTTCGCTTACCCAAATACCCTTTTAAAAAACAGCAGACAACTGAAAATGGCCAGGAACAGGGAAAAAAAAAAGAAGAAAAAAAGATCCACATTCCCACAATGAAATGGGAAGATTTGGCTCCATGAGAAAAAAATCTGGAATCCCTCCTGTCTTTGTTTCCTCAGCACTTTTGGAATGTCTGTGGATAAGTTATCAGCTGAGCACTCACTTGTAACTGAAAAGTAACCTCTGGGTTTGAGGACAGCAGGGAGAGATGCCACTCGGCCACAGGCAGACAGAAAGGCTGAAATCCCTCCCTGTGATGGGGCGGATGTAGCACGCATCTCTGCCCAGGTAAGAACAACTCCCCAGGGCAATCCAGAAAGGATCTCCTAGGCAGGACAAACCTGGCAGTGGGGGCTCCAAGACACACAAAAACTGTGCTACCCAGCCTCTGGGGACCACTCTTTTTATATACATACACAAGTGTTCACAGAGGGGAAACACTCCCACTTAACTCGGTCTGCTGAGGACAAGTTCATCATCTCATTTGAAAAGTCTAGGAGCAAGCAGCTGAGTGACTTTCTAGAATGACTTACTTAAGCAATTCCAAAATTGTTTATTTTGACATCACAGCAGATGATCATAACAAAGAAAGTTCTGCACTTTTGGCTATAATCAAATCTAGTGGGACTGTAATCTGAATCTGGGTTCTGTTCATATCTGGGTTTAACTGCATGGAAGGAGCCTTTTAACACAAGCTGTGACAATGGGATAATTACCAATAGTGCCATGTTTCTTATGCTTTGCAGTGAGAATTACTGAACGAGAGGCATCCAAATCCTGTAATCACCTGTCAGATGGAAAATCTTTGGTAAGTAAATACAGCAAGACCAACTACCACTGTCTGATGCATCTTAAAACTAGTACCTGTCAGCATGTCCCACATTGACAGCACGTCAGTCTGTCGCGTATATGCAGATTTCACAATCTTGGTTAAGGCTTTCAGACACAATATGGCTTAGCTGAGAGCAGAGGCTGGCGTACGACAACTGCCTCTCAGGGAACCAAGGAAGGGTTATGTGATGGAAACAGGCAGGGTCTGGTTCTGGATTCTCAGCCACCTGCACAGAGAAGCCTATGCAAGACCTGGGAGGAATTAGCCTCTTGTTTCTCAAGGAGCTTCATAAATTGGGAGAAAAAAAAAAAAAAGTGTCTCTAAAACAGAACAAGCATCAAATTATTATACAGTCCAGAATGTCATCCTGACAAGATAATCAGATCAATCAAAAATGTCAATAAAGAGCTGATGGGAAAATCATCATACAAAACCTGAAAATTTGTTCTGTAACAGAAAGACAAAATGCTTTGGTTAAGAATGACTCAGCTTTGCTAAAACATTTTCCCTCCCTTCTTTTTTCTTACCAAAAACAAATTTTCAAAGTCCCCACATTTTATAAAAAAAAGATTTTTGAAACAGAAAGCTGTCCTTTGAAAAGATTTGCACCAACATCAGACCATGCTATAGAAACTTTATGTCTTCAAATGCTCTTTTGGATGGCTGCAATATACTTGCTAGCTAGTAGCTGGGCTACACTCGAGAAAAATGACCATACCAAATTAATAGTATTCAGTGTAATGAAACTAATTGTACCTACCAATAATTAACCTGGTTAAATTTCAAAGGATGCTTGCAAAAGTGATTTCAAATATCTTTAAGTCTTGGGATACCTGCTGAGCACACCTAAATGTATCCAGTCTCAGATTAATCCCAGGGGAAACAGCCCTAGACACCTTAAGACCAGTTACAGTAGTGACAATAATAGGAAGAAATTTTTTAGTATTGCCAGTAAAATCAGGAAGTGTGTTTATTGCCTGAAATGATGAGAACATGTCATAATTTTTGACTTTTTTTTCTATTTCTGGGGAACCCAAACTTTATCTTACCATCCTGGAGGATGTACCAATCTCAGTGGACTGTTTATAAGAAAATGTGACTCAGTTCCCACAGGCAATTTGTGATCAAATAAGACAAGGGGGGAAGTTGACGATTAGGCATTTGGGGGGCCATTGCAGAACTGGGGCATGAACCAGGGCACCCCACACCACAGAGCAGCACCCTACAAAACAGGGAAACGTTTCTGAAGGCTTGAGAAACGGCGATGGCTGGGAGAGCTGCCCCCCATCCAGCAGTACAGGTGGCCTGTGAAGAGCTGCAAGCAGCTCAGCCTGCACAAAGCCTCACCTCCTCAGGAAGCCAGACATAAAAAACAGGGAATAAAAAGGTCTGCACGCATCCCTCCTTCGATGGCAGGTGTAATTCTTGCTCATACGAGCCCTGTGCTGAGCTCGGTGAGATCATTCACGTGAGCAAACGGCATTTGTGTCGGTAAGAGTTAGGCAGTCACGTACTTAAACTGCATCCTCTTGTTAAGAGATTTACAGTATTTATTAATTTTCATGAAACAGCCTCTTTCCTGAGACGAACTTGAGGTCCCTACTCATCAGTGGCATTTCCTAATGATGTGCTTTTTCCTCCTGCAGTTCCCACCATTGCCGGTTGCCCATATCACAGCGAAAGCGGCGGCTGTCACAGACTCACCCACAGGCAACAGCACCTCTACAGAGGAGTAAGTCCCTTCCCAGCCCTCAGCAGAGCCTGGGGGCTGCGTGTGGGGCACTGCCGGGCAGGGAAGGGAACGGGACGTGACACCTCCACCACAGGTCACCCTCTCACCAGAAACACAAAGAAGTGCTAAGCTGCAGGTCTCTTCCGAGGCTGTAAAACCTCAGTGACTGGTGGCAAAGTCATGCTGCTTGCTTCCCAAAGGCAGGGAGAGAGCAGCTAAAGGACGTGCTGATCGTAGCGTCAGCCATGGCCATTCATACACCTGCCTTAGTGTTAGTTACAGCTCTGTTTTATCACTAGGAAAAAAGAGTCTAGATTAAAAATCTAAGTATTTTCCCCTTAAGAAGTCTATAATATTTGCCCTAAGGCAGCTCAGAAAAACGTGATGAAATGTTTTTTAAACCAAGCTTTATTGTCTTTAAGTGTAATTAAGGAACAGCTTGGCCATAGTACAAATGCACTCATCAGTAGGCTCTTAACCCAGACACGGATCTGGGTGACATTTCAGCGGCCGCCATTGCCACCTAAGGGACAGTCACAAGTTCATTGTCACAGTGCCCTTGCACTCCATGCACAGAGCCATCAATCCCCCTCAGCCAGTGTCAGTCGGTGTAGCCCACTCAGCCAGGTGCTGCTCCACTGTACCCAGGGCTTTGCCAGGAGGACTCAGCTCTGTCCCCAGGGCTTTGCCAGGAGGACTCAGCTCTGTCCTGGGCCACCTACCAGCCTCTTCTCTGGTGGCAAACACTACCTCTGTCGTGCACCTAGGAGCAGTCTCACTCACAGCCCATCCCCTCATACGAGTGTTCACCCTGATAGCAAGTGAAGGGGGCCCAAGGGGAACGGGGGCAGCCAGGAGGGGACAGCTGCGGTGCCCAAGCCCACTGCTCAGCACAGTCCTGGCTCACCCTGGGCTCATCAGTCCCAGGGATGGGCCAGGTGCAAACACACTTTTGCAAATGGGCAGCCCTTGGTTTTCAGTGGCTGGTCATCATAAGCAGGGAAGAAAGGCCAGAGAGATTAATGCCTTACGCATCTGTGCTGTATTTGCTAGCCACAGGCAGCGCTGGAGGAAGACAGCAGAGTACGACCTGACGCTGCCACCGGGAGCAGAAGCTTCCCTACCACTGACGGGAGGCAACCTGTGCGGGACACCCAGCCTCCTGAGGAAGATGTGGATGAAGCACAAGAAGAAGTCAGAGTACCTGGGGGCAACAAACAGTGCCTTTGAGGCAGACTGATAAGGCTCAGCATCACCTGGAAAGACAGAAGGTCCTTTAGGCAGGACAAGGTGCTCTAGGATTGATGAGAGAACAGACACAGCACAGCTCATCCAGGAAAACGATATTCCTTTTATTACTTGATGCCATTGCCTCAGAATGGTGGGAAAAAGACTAACTAAGGCAAAAAATGGTGAACGTGATGCAACTCATTGACCTTTATTTGTTGCAATATACTAAAATCCCAAGTATCTCACTCAAATTCTGTCTTGACCAGATGCTGAAACTACTGCTGGCCCGTTCAACATTTTACGTCTCCTGTCCAAATCAGCTCAGACTCACAACAAGAAGAGCCTGCCAAGAGGTTTGTGTATTCCTGCGAGGCAACAGATGAATTACAGAGTGGCATTAAATCCCAAGGTTCTGCTCGTTGTGTACCACTGCTTGTCCTCTTCCCCCTCTCATATCATGAGAGAAAAAAACCACATCTTATGATATGCTTGGTTGAATGACATACATTAAACATCTTTTTTTCTTCAGTTTTGATGTTTCAAGACAGGAGTAAAAGATGCAAAAACTAAAAGAACAGGTGAGTCAGAACTGAGCAAGTTTGCAAACACACATTTACCAAACTTTGCCATGTGACAAGTGATGAGTGTTTCAAAGTGTCCTGCCAGACCAAACTGTGAGCAACTGGATAACCTCAAGAGATACTTTCTTCCATAGAACCTGCTTACGTGTTATCTGATAGTCAGCAACTTACTCTCTACCTGTGTGGTACAAGACAGTTCACTAAGTACGGAAAATACGAGGAGGAAAGAAGACATGTAAACAGTGCAACTAGGCAACTAAACATGAGATATTTGCATATAGGAGACCTGTGTTTGTGAACTGGTGGCTTTAACGGAATTTGCTAAAAAATTTTGTTGATTTTTTTTTTAATTTAGAAACTGCTGACCATGGTCCCTTGTTTTTTCTTCTCAAAGGAAAAAAGTTTTACAAAACATATTTCACTGGTATTACAGACAATATTAGTTATGAACAATACTTGCCTCGTATGAGTGCTCCCCTGGCTATTATAAGACTTCATTTTGCCTAAATACTGATCTTTATATATAAAATTGGAGGAAGCTTGTCTCCTGCAGCTCATAGTAGTGACAATCTTCTCTAATCTAACCGCCAGTTCCCCAAAGCATAAATGAAAAACAAGGGTTGCATTTGATGACAGAAGCAGAGGAAAGAAGCTCCCATCTGAAACTTGCTTGCTTGCAGCCAGCAGAGTAAAACATACTGAGATGCCATCATACAGTTCCACAGTACCAAGGTGAGGAGGCTCCATAGCCCTGAGCCCACCAAAGGTATGAACCGTACACTGGCAGCATTAATAGTGGTTACAGCTCCTTCCCCTCCAACCAAAACTACATGGGCAACTTCTGCACTTGGGACACCTGCTGACTCCATCCACTGCTTGTGTTAAGATCATCTTCAGCCTGGACTTAGAAAAACGCATATTCTGAATTTCTCTTACAGCACGGGACCGAGGGAGCCTTGGATTACAGCCTGCAGAGCTGCAGGCCCGGGCAGTTATCTCCAACCAGGGGCCACCAGCTCAGAGGTACTGCGGTACTGCCTGGGAGGAAGGGAAAGGCTGCTAAAGCACCCGGCTCCTCTGGCTTTGGGTTCACAAGTTCACAGCGTGACAACCTGAACAACCAAAGTCTGCAGGATGGGAAAGCAACTGGAGCAGCCCAGTAGCCGCCTTGCTTTTGAGAGCAACCGTCACCAGTGGCTCCAAGAAGGTGGTGGGAGATGCTTACATGGGGCTGGGCATGCTAAAGAAGGCAGTGGGAGGGAGATGGAAGAGATCATTTAACAAGGGACTGTGGCTTTTCATACAGACAGAGGCAAGCCAGGGCAGGGTCTGCCAGGGAGGAGAGAGGCACTAGATCTCCATAAAACACCTCTGTCAGCCCTCACATTCAGCTGTCCATCACTGCTCCAGTCCCAGGCTTATCTTTCAGAGGTGCTCAGCAACTCACAGAGTCTGTGTGACTGCAGCTAGAAATCACACAGGCCCTCACCTCCTCCTTACCCAAGGCACAAGTCCTTCTCCAGCCCAGCAGCCTGACAGAGGGATGATTTGCCCTCCTGCTTTTCTTCCTTCCTCCTGGGAAAGGAGAAGCACACAGCTCCTCGTTAACCACAGGCTGAAATGTCCCAGCTGCTGGCAAGGCAAGGGGAAGAAGTGACAGTGACCAAGCAGTGACCACGTGTTTTCAGCCGCAGCAGGCAAGAGCAGGTGGGCACCAGAGCAGTTTTCTCATAGGGGTCCACCCCTCCTTTAAATTAGAGCTTGACACATTGCTCCTGTGTAATAGTCCGGACACCATGACCAGGCCAGACAATAACCCTGACAACATCAGGTCCTCCATGACTGAACCAAGCTGGAGCCATGGCCAAGATTTTCCTGAAACATCTTTTACAAATATCACCAACCACACTACAACCACCCTCTCCCCAGCCCATACAAATCCTGCCAGAAGCCTTGGCTTCATATGCACATGCTATTTTTACACATATAGATAAACCTAGTGAACTCAGCGGGACTACTTCCTTGCGCAGCAATGCAATATGTTCAAGGAGTAAGCAGAACAGTAATCATCAGTTCCCTTTTTTGGTCTCATTCCCTAAGCAGAGCAAAAATTAAAAAGATGGACAAACACTGGGAAAAGTCCATTTGCTGCATTTGGGGTAATTAAGACGGTGAACGTTTGTGGTACCTGCCCTTGTACCCATTGCACAGTCCAGGGCAGCAGAAGTTTTGTCTGTTGAGAAAGCTGTACTGTAGTATTTCATTTCTTAATTAATAGCTTTAAGCAGTATGAGGATGGAGGTGAAGAGGAGATGATTAATATTTCTACTTAATAATTGCCACATCTTGAAACGTGTATTTAAGGTTTTCTTATTTATTTAATTTATAATTTGGATCTGCAAGAGAATGAGAGATTTTCAAGAAGCATACTTAATTTCTCTGTATTCCAGAAACTGCTGTGGAGATTTTTTGTATTGTAGTAGATACCTATTTTATTGATTCAAATAAAATATGTCCTATTCATTAAAAAAAAAAATAAAAAAACCAAGTAGCATGTGGTAACACATAGTTCTCAGTGATTTAAAAGCTTTCGGGAAGCACTTAGTGGAAAGTAAATGCAGGGTTTATGATGGCAAAGAACCCAAGTTTTGCTCCCCACAGGGAGAGCCTGGAAGTGTATGTTTGTGAACGTGTGGTAGAGTCATTTTTTGTTATCAGATACTCAGAGAAAAGCCCCGGTGCTGCCAAGAGGCATTAGACATTAGATACACATTCACACACCCAACCTCAGGTGCATTACCACACAACATTTAATCTCACTGTGTCCCTGGGAGCTAAGCAGTGTCACCTCCCCCCCATGAAATAAGAGCACCAAGACAGAGACTCTTTGAGGTTAGCTAAGGCTCTGGTAGAGAATAAAGCCCAGTAGTCCCTGTCCTCAGTCCTATCAGCTGACAGCGAAGTCACTCAACTTACCTCAAACACAACGTTGTCTTTGGAGACCATATGCTGAACCACGGCCCTACAGGAGGTGGGTTGCACAGGGACATGGGAGCCCAGGCTAGAAGACCTGACTCAGAACTGCAAGGGGAAAGACTTTAGGATACAACAATGAAAGAAAATGTATGGTGTTGGCATTCTTCACCAACCCGGACTTCAGAAAGGCCATCCATTAGAGGATGACTTGTCCCCCCGCCTGCCGCACTGCCCAGGGAAAAGGTGGCACGTTTCTGTTCCTTCCACTACAGACAGTGTCTGTATTTAAAATGAGCAACCAGGCAGTGTCCTCTCAATGAGTGTCCCCACTGCAGGACTTGGCAAAGATTTTTTCCAGGATGTGGGGTGACAACCTGGCCTCTGATGGGAACTCCTCTGTGAATACCCGGCCCTTAGTCATTTGTTAAAAATATTGGCATGAGTACGGAATAGGATGTGGATATGCAATAAGTTTTCTAGATGAAAATGTAGACAAAGCAACATTGGGTCGACTCCAGTACACCGTCAGAAAAATGTGAAATACTAATTAAAAAAATAAGTGAACTGTACCATTTCCCCATCAAAGACAGAAAAGAAGTTAACAGTGCAGCTGAAAGCATCCCCTCTGGCACTGCCTGACACATGCATATTGTCATACTTCATAACATCTGTGAGAAGGTGCATTTTTCAGACGTGTTTCCTGCCATTTTACAATTTGGGGTTCCCCGGAACTAGAGACTAACTGGGGCACCAACCTGACTGAAATAGACAGCCTGATGACAGTTCATCATGCTTACAGTAACTTACATTTTATTTCCAAAAAAAGGTTTCTAATTTCTTCTCACCATTTCAAAAACATCTTTGTGATAGAACTACTCATTAAAATATCCATCACTCCTTTGCATACCAATGTATTTAAATAAACTGTAGTGAATTTAAAGCTAGGCTACCATATAAAATAATGCCTACTGATGTGTGAAAAAAAAATCTCAGATATGCTTTGCCTGCCTTTCTTCCCCTTTTGCACTCACTTTACAGATCCTGTAGCAAGCAGGTCTGCCAGAAGAGCTGATCACAGACACATCACTGTTTGGGGGAATACCACACACATTTCACAGAAAATATTTTTACCTCAAACATTGGCATCTGCAAAATAATTTCACATCTGAGAGTTACCCAGCCAGAAAAGTTACAATATCAGGACTTGCACAGACAAAAAAAAAAAAAACTGAAACAAGTCAGATTTCTCAGACAAAACCCCTGCTCAAAAAGTTGTATACAAACTCTACAAACAATGTAGATGTCAAATACCCATAAATACTTTATGAGAGATTTTTGAAATCTCATTATTAAAGCCGTAGATCATTCACAAGGGAGCAGCTCAACCCTATGTGGTATTGAAAACAATTTTTTAAATGGCAGAACTATTATTTAAATGAATGGGCACACAGAT